TATGAATTAACATTTTAAATATGGGCCTAAAGTTTAATGAAAGTTGTGAAAACTGAAATTCTCTTCTTTGTTCTTTTCCTCATGTCTAATTTTACTGTCCTTTTTGTTACTTTCGTGTTTTCAAGTGATTTCTTTGTCTCTGATTCTCTGTCTCTTTTTCTATCACTTTGTCTCTATCTGTCTCTTGGTCTCGCTATCTCTTTCTGTCTCTGTGCCTGTCTCTGTTTCTCTGTCTCTCTATGTCTCTCTGTCTCTGTCTGTTTCTCTGTCTGTCTGTCTGTCTGTCTGTCTCTCTCTCTCCTTTTTTGGATTACACATATGAGGGAAAACATGCCAGACTTTTGCTCAGAGCCTGGCTAATGTTGATTAGCATGATGATCTCAAGTTGAATTAAGTTGTTGTCAAATGACAATTTTGTTCATTTCTGACTGAAAAATATATCCATGTATATCCATATATATATATATATATATATATATGCCACATTTTTTCTGATCCACTTATCATCATTGTTGGGCTTATAGAATGGTCTCATATTTTGGCTAGTGTAAATTTTACTTTCTTCTTAATTAGCATAAATTAATCATTTTGATAAACTTCCTATATTAACATTTAATTTTGTAGATGTCATTTTCTACTATATTTAACTTGACATTTTATAAACAAGAATCACAGTGAGATTTACATGGAGAGGGACCTGTTTTCCAATGACATTCTTCTGTCCTCTTCCCTTCCTTTCTTTTACGGAAATACTTAGATAATTCTTAGTTAACCTTTCCAGTTTTGACTTTAAATAAAAAGAAATCCAAGCATTTATTTGTATCTTCCCTTTTGCCACTCCTAAAATACTGTATGCACTTTGATTTTATCCCTGAAGTGTGTAACTATTATACACATATTGCTGCTTTTCTGTTGTTGTACAATAGTCTACCCTACAATGATAGCATCTTTTATTCCTATGAGTAAACATTTGTGCTTTTCCCAAATCTTATAGATAAATAAAATTAGCAAACTTTTGCACATTTAGTTCAGTGTGTCTTTAAAGCAAATTCTTAGAAATAGGATGTGGAGTCCATCACTACAAAGATTGTCAGATTTCTCTGAGTCCTAGTATTTTGCTCCCCTGTTAACAATACAGCAAGAGACTTCCAGCTTTCAAAAAGCTTTCCTCAAGTTACCAAAATTTTAGATTTTGTTAAATTTCATAATAATGAAATTAGATTGTTATATTTCAATTGGCATATCTCATGTTGAGTTTATTACAAAACTTTTTAAAATGAAGTGGACTGCTGTATTGCTTCTTTCATGAATCCTCCTCCTCTCTCTTTTCTCTTTTTCTGACTAATTTTTACTGTACTTTTCTTTGATTTTCAAAAGCTCTTGATATTTTAGAGGAATAAACTGTTTTCTTGTCATGTAAGTTTTAAATGTATTTTATCAATGTAATTTTTTTATTTATAGTATTTTCTGTTATGTAAAAATATATTTCTGATGCAAGTTGAATTCTTAGTTATTGATTTTTTAAATATGAACACTATCTGTGCTTACATAGTTTTTGGCTTGTACGTGACTGGATTCATTTCACTAAAGTTTTATGTCTCTAATATGTTTGGAATTTATCTTAGTACAGAACAATATGCTTTATTTTTTGGATGGTGTTTTACGGTGTCATGATATTATTTTTTAGCCTATTTTCTCCCTGTGATTTAAAAATCCAACACTACTGCTAAATTCTGAATGTATCTGTTACTTTATGGATACGTTCTCTTCTATTTGTCTTCTTGTTTATGTATAGATCTTACACTTTTTATTTTTTTTTAAATCTATCACATATATTCATATGCGGTAAAATATTCTGTCTTGCTTATGCTTTTGGAATATTTCCCTGGTAAATTTTACTTCATAATTGTTTTCTATTTAAAATTTATAAGTGGCATGATTGTTCCAAGGAACAAAATGTGACATATGTAGTTTTTTAATGAGTATATTACATTTAAACTTTAACTTAATGAAATTTCATATACTTACTGTTGACTATTCCTTTGCACAAAATAATAGCTAAAGACTCGTGACATCTATTGAAATTTAACTTTGAGAACTAGTTTGAAACTTTGATGATATATAATTTGCTTTTTTCCATTTTCATTGATGTGATCTTATCCATCACTGTAAGTAGCATCATAAGTTGAAAATTGACTGTTTTGAAATGGATTGAATTTGATACTTGGTATATGATATATTGTTGAATAATGTTATTATTCATAAATTATGCCTTTATCTGTTTTTGATAATCTTTTCAAGATCTTTTACACTAGATTCATCACAAAGAACTTGGATATTTCCTTCATTTTATTTACTCAGGAAATATTTCCAACAGTATAAGATTGCTTGATATTTTTAAATACAATAGATTTTTTTAAAATTCCCTTTTAAATCAGATGGTCTTGTCAGTTTTATGATAGCATTTGTGTGCAGATGTTTTGTGACAATTATACTTAATTGCAAAGTATTTTACAAAATAATTACTTTAGGTGTTCCAAAACTTTTTGTTTCACTATGTTCACCTTAATTAATTATAGATATTTCTCTACACAAAAAGATAGGTTGGTTATTTGTTGTTATATTTTTTCCATTTCTCTTCCAAAAATATTGCTTTTGAATTTATTAATATATTCTACTTTTAAAAACTTTTTGGCACATTTCAATTTCATTATTTTTGATATAAAATTATTTTAATCATATTCATCTTGATTTTAAGGTTCGAAATTTAACTCACTTATTTTCATGATCCATAAAGTATCTTATTTAATATTATGAATGCTTCACTGAACATTGCTTTAGCTCTATCCATTAAATTCTGACAATGTGTAGTTATCAGAATATATATATATATATATATATATATATATATATATATATATATGTCATCGTTCACTTTTATAGTAATCATATTTTTTTTCTTCTTTTTTTAATATTTTGGTTACTGTGATGGAACTCGTGACTTTGCACTTGCCAGGCAGGCACTTGTTCCGCTGGGCTAAACCTCCAGTTGCTAGCCCCCATTTTTTTCTACATGGAATGACTGTTTTTCTGTGAACATTTATTATATTTTAGACAAATAATCATACAATACTTTATTTTCAATTATTTGTTATGTACCAAGAAATTCTTTACATTGGAGTACATTTTAATCTTTGCAAATATTAATTTTGCTTTAGAACATAGGTTGATGAAAGTCTTAAAGATATGGAAATAAGCATTTGAAAATGAGTTTTTACACTGTTATAACTAATATTTGTTTACAATTTCTAATTTGTCATCTAGATTGATAGGTATAGTTTTTTTTCTACCATGAGATCTATTCAAATCAAAGAAATATGTGTTAAGATCTTTCAATTTTAGTAATATGTTCCTATTAATATTTCATTTTCTCTTTTATGAAAAATATTGCAGTAACATAGCATGCCAATTTTTGGTGAAGAGTCTTATATAGTATTTTTCTTTTGTCCTCATTTAGTATTTTTTGCCATGAAATGCACAGAGCATATCAAGATCATTACAGATGTTTCACCTTTAAACTTTCACCAAAATACTTATCTTGATTTATTTGTAATATTTTATAAACATATCTCTTGAATAAATGATAAATCTAGCCTGAATTCTTAGACTATCACAGCACTGCCATTCTCTTTACAGCGATGTGTAGAGGATTTTTGGTTTGGTGTTCTCTCAGAACTCGGCACAGGAGCCCATTGTTCTCAGATGCAGAGGTTATTCAATCCTGTTTCCAGCTTGGTGTTTTTTGAGAAGTGCACTATATAAATTAGAGCTTTTTGCTCACTTTAACTAGTATTTTATACATACATTCCGTTTCACTTTCCCGAAGCCACTTGACCATTACCTAATGATATTGACGATTTGGTCCACCTAATCAGATCCATGCAGTAAATTTTGTTTTTTAGTTCTTCTACTAAAATCTTCTTGATTTAGTTTGCGTGATGGAGTCTAAAAAAGATGAGAATTCAATTTTCCCAAATAACATTTGTTGTTACCAGATGCAAGTGTAAATTCATTTGATCTCTTATACAGACATATGAACTTTAGCTTAAAACCATTCCTTGTGACCTGAATTTAAGATGGATATTAATTTAAATATATAGAGAAAATGAACAGTAGTCTACTAGCAGATCTTTTTGGTCTTTTTCAGAACTAGTTTTTCTGTGTGTAAGTTGACACATGGTCACCAAACAGATGTGTTGACGAGAAAAAGAACAGGCAACAAATTTGACACTCACATGGTAGATGAATGTCTAAAATATCAAAGTCTGAGGATCACAGACTTTTAATGTTTAACTCAAATGACATGCGATGTTGTTAATACCTTAACACTGAAAATCACACTTTGGTTGGGAATATATATTTAAATTTAGTCATTGAATATCATTGCCAGTTTGTAAATCTTCTGTGGAGTTTAGTATGTACCATGGAGTTTAATAAACACTATGGGGTGTATTAGTGTAGGGAATTTCTAAAATTATAATGATGTATGTATGCTTAATGATATATCCATAAAGGTACTTTCACTTCATTTCAAACTTACAATTGAAAATTTATTAGGATTTGTCTTATTTCCAGTTTGATACGTTGTTGTGTGGTTTAAAAGTTCTGTTATCACTATAATTTTATTTAACTACAAATTTATTTTATAGTTTCTCTTTCTCTATTTGGCTCTTGGAGTGTTAATGAAGCCAAACTACATGCATCATTTAATTAAATCCGAATAAATTGTTCTACAAATGCTAGATATTCAATTCCATTAAATGTATATTTAATGTCTAGTCACTGAGGAACTATTCATCAATTTAAAAAATGTGAAACTCTGAATTTTGATGTTATTCAGTAGATTGTTTCATTACACTCCTCTAGGCATCCTCACCTATAGATAAGTGAAAATTTGATTTTTTTGGAAAATGGAATAATGTTAAATATTATTAATGCAGGAGAGGAGTCACTCACAATTTTTGTGGACAAGCGCAAGCTGAGCAAACGATCAGAAGGAAGTGATTCCACCACCAATAGCTCATCTGTCACTCTGGAAACCCTACATCAACTAGCTGCTTCCTATTTCATTGACAGGGACAGTACCCTGCGGAGACTTCACCACATTCAAATTGCATCTACTGCCATAAAGGTATGAATGAGCTCATCCTAACATTATCTTGTCCCTTTGTTTTTCAATCTCCAAAATGCACTTCTAAATAGTCGTTAAGTCAATTGACTTAAACAATTGTGGTAAAAAATATTTTGAACGTCTCTTCATTTCGAATTATCTACACTAATTAAGATTAAATTCTGTGACTTTTCATGGGGTTAAAGATTTTCATGGACAAGTGTAATTGCAATACATTTTACAAAGTTACCCTAGGGTAACTCACTCACAAAGCATATTTAGAAAAAAAAATATCAATATCATGAATTTCTTTTGTAATTTCACATAGTATAGCATTTTAAAATATTACAACCAGAAAGTGTTTGGTTAGGCTCAAAGTCATTTATAGTTGCAAATAGCTTTAATAAATTCTAGCTGAAAAAACATTTTCCCTCAAGTTTTTGAGATACTGTCCAAAAAATGGATGTACTCAGTAGTAAATTCTAGAAGTCAAAATACATCACAGGTTAGCACTTTTGGACGAATACCATGCATTGACAAAAAATGATATAATATGGTCTATTAATAAGCTTACTTATATCAAAACAAAAGAGGGCAAGTAAAGTAGCTCTAGTTTTTGAAAGGAAGATAGAGAGAAGAAAATTACAGTCACTAGTGCTATGCATGAGAGGTGTTAGTCTCCATATAGGACAAATTATTTTTTAAACTTTTTCCTGTCATATTATATCATCGAGTTATTTTCTCTTGTGATTAGTGATTACAAAAGTAATTGAATTAGAGTTCAGATAGTGAGATGTTTGTTTTAGCTAAATAAAAATAGAAATAATTTTTGAGTGTTTCAAATACATGTCATAATAAATACAAAAAGCAGACATCAAAAGTCTATTTTATAAAAGTAAAATTAATGAAAGCATTTTTTGGTTTGATAAAAAGGTTTACAGCACTTCAATATTTTGGGAATGTTATGAAAAATTTTCTCAAAGTGTATCTTTTGTTGAACCTATATTAGAGAAAACAAAAGATGCTCTGGAATTATATTTAGGTTAAGTGTTAACATAGATAATACTGCAAAATGCTAATGTTCTGTATTTTGCATTGCTAATAGATGAGCTGGAAAAATATTTTGTTAGATGTAAACTATAGAATATAGCTAGTCTGTCTTCAACAGGAGGAATATTTTATTTGAAATAGTCATATACAACTGATACTATTTAGGCTATATAGATAAAAATGTAACCAGTGCAAAAGTAGAAGCCTCAGTCAATTTGGAAATCTTATAAAGTAGAATACTGTTAGAGCTATTTAGTTTGAGGATGTTTGAAGAAATAGACTTTTTCAAAAATCAATTTTAATGATATAAACAGTAATATGAACTGCATTTTGTGATAGAAGAAAGTATCATAGTGTTTATTATATGCTTATTGATTTTTTGGTGTAGAAACATAGAATTATATAATAAGTTTATACTTATACCAAGCAAGAACTATTCAGACACAATTTATGTCCAGCCTTAATGAGTACTTGTACACGAGTATGTCTGTAATACTAAAAGCACATAGTTTACTGAGCATGAGAATATATACTGATATTCTTCTCAGCTTCCTTCTCTGAAGCTGGGAGTGATAAGTCTCCATGAAGCTCATAATCATATTCTGGGGTAAAAATGAAACTCCAAAGAAAAGCTGTTTTAATAGGAGGAAATAGAGGGGTATTGGGGTACTTCAGAAGATGAGAAAGACAACACTGATGCTGAGACTCAATAGCCTCACCTTGACAGCCTTAGAGAAAGCTTCATTCCTCATTAGAATGGAAAGGAAACCCAGAGTACAAAATAGAAGGGTTGCAAAGAGTGGGTGGACTCCATGCTGAGGGCAGGGAAATGGGGATTTTCGATTAGACAGAAAAAGCATATAATATGAAAATGAAGCAAGGAAAGGCTGTATATAAATGTTCATATTGTTGTGTAACTGAAGAAAGTAGGAAATGAGATGTTTGCTAACCTAGTTGTGAGTATAGGACGCTTCTGCGAGAATGAGGTGATGGGGAATAGCAAAAGGAACTGGGACATTACACAACTTTTTAGTCGTGTTTTATTTACTTATTTCTTTATTTATTTTTGAGTCATGACATTGCTATATAGTTCTGGGTGGCCTCCAACTCACTATGCACCTCAAGAAGGTCTGAAACTCACCATAGTCTTTACCCCGGTCTCTTAAGTGCTCTCTGGACCACATGCAGGACTAACATAATTTTGGATTTAGTTTAAGCTTTCTTGCTAGTATACTGTGTTTAATCAAAAATGGAAACAGGACCCAGCACTTCAGGTCTCTGAACTTCCTAAACTGTGTGAACAATCTGTGTGTGCAATTTTTGGGCATTACAGTTTAAGTTATCAGAGGTGTCACTGCACAGACTAATGACACATGTCATGTATAACTTTGGCTAAGATTTTAAGTGTTTTAATTAATGTAAGTGCACAGGGTATACATCACTGAAAAGGTATGGAAGACATGGGTGGGTCAGATCTACTGGCGACAAAACAGTGAACTCCTTCATAATTATATAAATAATCTATTACAACGTATTCTTCCAATGTTTTTCAACCATGATTTTAATTCTGTGCCCTTGTAGGTTGAATTCATTTGCAAAAGTCAATCCAACTATAACAAACCCACAATTCTTTTTGATTTTGTGATACAATTTGCATTTTAATTTCTATGTAGCACACATTTAGTTTTTCGAGCAAATGATGAGTATTGTGCATTGATTCTCAGAATTTTTAGAGACAAAGTATTGCTTGAAAACAAATTCGATTTTCAGATAACATCGAAAATATAATTAAACCCTCAATATAATTTCAGCTTTTGTCATGTGAATTCAGGAAAACATAAAAGACCACCACAATTAATGTTAGCTCTGAATCCATTTCTGGTAAAAGGAAAAGGGCAATTTGTCGTTTTCATCTGTTATAATTATGAAACTAAATGTAAACTGCAGTTCATGAACACATCTGTAAATTAAATCACAGTAGTTCAGACACTCATGGAGCTAATTAACTGGCATGTTAATGCAATTAATGAAAATTATACAAAATAGTATTTCTCAATTTTATTTACAGTGTAAAAGTGTACCAAAGTAATATGTAGAATTAGATAATATTTTCAGAAAATTCAATACAATTAGTCTAATTAAATCAAATCATTAACTTATCTTTATTTTGAAGTAATCTAGTAAAGCATATTATTACATATATGATATTAAAGAGAACATGAAAACTAGTTTATATATTTTGGGGAAAATTAAATCTATCGACTGGTTTGCATTATGGCATATACACTATACAAGAAGATTTTCTTAATATTAAAAATTATAAATTATGCTTCGAATAAAATTAAATTCCCTTACAAAATTATATTTATATTTTTAAATAATCATTAGTATTTTTTGAAATAATTACTGACATGTTTACTATATTTATGATATTCTTATAGATAAAAGGAAAGTTGCTTTTAAAATTATTGTAGTAGAAAGGTTTTACCATCAAATGTAGGAAAAAGCAAATAAATTAAATTTAACATAGAGCATAGTATCTTATTTTTTAAAAAGTCAAATTTTTTTAAATGATGAATTATTTACCTGAGTATGTTGCAAGTAATATTGAGGTGTTACAATTTTAAATGATGCATATAAATTGAAAAAAATTATAAAATTGAACTTGATACTTTTCAAAACAGCAATTTTAGTTGAATTATTTATTTTTCAGAATAAAGTTTGCATAATTTTATACTTTTAAAAAGATCTTAAGAAAATTTGCATGTATGATAATAATAATTGCATTTTTATTTCATATAACACTTGCAGTTTTAGGAAGGACTCACATTTATTTTTATATTTTTATTGTTGTGTACAATGTATGTAATATTTTAATAGATTTTCATGGTTAAATGGATATTACAATCAAACAAATTAACATTGGTATTTTTCATTTTCTTACACTTTTATTTGATTATGTGGTGAAGTTCCCAAAATTTACTCTCTAGTCAAATTTCTAGCATATAATGAAATGTTATAAATACAGTTTTCATGTGTTTCATTGGATCTCTAATCTTATTCATCCAATATAATTCCAATTTTTATACTTTTTAATCCACATCTCCCTTTACTATCATCAACAGTTAGTTCTTTGTTTTAAAGTATTCATATTTTATTTTACTCTACAAGTAAGTGAAATGATATAGTATACTGATTTTTGTGTCTAGCTAATCTATTTTAGGTCAGTTCCATATTTTATAATATTGTGACCATGACAAAGATTTTTTTTTAAGGCCAAAGTATTTCCTGTTTTGTGTGCGTGTGTGTGTGTGTGTGTGCTCGCGCACATATGTGTGTACATGCCACAACTTCTTTATACTCCTCCATCAGTATGACAAGTGTTTTCCCTGTCTTAGAAATTATGAGCAGCATATACTGAACATTTAAGTACAAGTATGTTCATAAAGTTCTGACTTATAGACCCAGAAGTGGTATTGTCAGATCATATTGTAGTTTTTTTTTTTTTTTTTTTTTTGGCATTTTTAATAAATCATCTTACTGTTTTTTCATATGTTTACAGTACTTTATATTCCCACAAACACTGAACAAGTGTTCCTTCTTTTCAATGTATTTGTCAACATTTATTATGTGTTGGTTTTTAATTTGCATGGTCCCTTGGGATTATAGAAGAAAATTTAATTTACGCATAAATTTCAATTTGTCATTACATTATAGAATAAATGACACTTATCAAATTGAAAATTTTCAATTACATTTACCCAAAGTTTCTCTAATGTGTCAAACTTATTTACCAACTTAAAAAAAAAAAAAACACTTTAAAATAAAACGATATGAATTCCCTGCAATGTTTTGTGAACAGTATATCATTATTACATTCATAAAAACTCTCAAGGAGGAACAGGATTAAGAGATGGAGAGAGGGGAAAGGAGGGAGCCCCAGGAAGGAAAGCAGAAGAGGAATTAGGTGT